ATCTCTCTATACTTATCGTAAAATTTTTCAGATTGAAATACTTTTTTGTTCATAATGATATCATTACTAGGTATAATATTCTTTGCATTGACGCCAATATATTCATTGCAATATGGAATTTTGTTACCAAATGAAAAACTTTCTGAATTAACAACAATCAAGAATAATGATCAGGAAGAAAAAGAAAATGATAAACTTCAATTACAATCATTTTTCACGAAATCGGAATTAATGGAAATTAATAAGATTCTTCAACATATTAATGACACTGGCAAGAATGAAACAGAAGTAAGATTAAATCCATCATATTATTCATACTTTCTGAAGGAGAAAAACATGAACATATTAATCAATTGAAAAATAATTATTTATAGGCATTTGATGAGAATGAATTTTCTGAATTCAACTATTACAATTCTGATTCATCAAATACGAAGAAAATATTTAACATCATGATGAAATCTCAATTTAATCAATTTCACAATGATTACTATAACTATTGTTTAGAAGAACAACTCGATATGTCTTCATTTGGTCTTCCTCTCAATCATCCATTAGTCGTACTCGTTTTTATTGTTCCATTTTATTCTGGCATTTATAGTATAGTTCGTGATGAATTACTTAATCCACTATTAAATATCGATATCAATAATGAAACGAAAATAAATGAACTTCAATCATCTATATCGAAATTAAATACAACACTTTTTCTAACCGTTATGGTGTTCAATCCCAATGAAGTTGCTAATACGTCGAGACCAGTATTCCATCGTCGTGATCTAAAATTAACTATTCATTCACATGAACTATGCATAACCGATTTGCAGTTATATCTATCTATACTTCAACAACGATTGAATAATACTAAAACATCTAGTGATTATATGAAAACCTTATATTTACAGAATTTAAATTTGTATAATGAAGTCAAACAAAAATATTTAAACTGCTGGTTTTTTTGTGAAAGACTAAAAAATGAAATGAACTCTCGATATGAGCATTTTAAATCATCTATAGTTGATGCTATTTATAATGCCTATGAACTTGATGAAGTAATTAAAGAAATTGCAAAAGTTGAACAAACTCTTGATCGTCATTGTAAAGAACTTGATTCAATGAAAACAAGATTTTTATCTGATCAACAACAACAAATCGCTTTCAATAACATTATCAAAAAATTCGATGAAATGTACAACAATTTGCAAAATGTTACTACACATTCGAATAACTCAAATTACATCATTTATCTATTATTTCGAATTCAATCAATTATAATTCAGTTACATGAGATCTATGATATTGCTCAAGAAAATTATTTTCGAATACCACCTCCTAAACCATTCATCACAAATGATGAAATAGAAAAAATCAAGTCGAAAATCGTACAACTACAATTTGTTTTATAACAAATAGATACATAATTATCAACAATAATATTCTAAACATTTTCTTTAGCTATTATATAAATAAATCTCTTTCTTCATTTTGTTAATATATGTGCTATTTTTCATTTGTATTGCTACTATTTTCTCTGCAATTGTTGCTTCACAAATGCTGAATTAAAACAACGATAAGATTTTTCTCAGAACAAATTAGAATTTCTCTTTTTTTTTCATGCAGGAAAATTTGTTATAAATGATAGCTCTTTAAAATGTTTACAAAATAATGCAATTTATTTGACGAATAGAGTTTTATCTATTTTTATGAATGCAACACAATCATACAGATAATTTAAACTTTTATTTTGAAGTTTTTCGATACAATATTTATCACCAAAATAAAAACTGCGGTATTATCTATCTTCATTTATTCTGTACATTTTCTGAATATCGAATTTACAGGAATGTGTTTCAGATATACTATAGCTCATATGATGATTTGACAGTATACATATCTACTACATGTACATCGGGCTAATTTTCAAAGAAAACGACTGTTGATAACATGAAATAGTGACAAGTAAAAACTACGATGTGGTCGTATAATGGGTAGATTCGATTACAAAATTTTGTTATTCACGTTGTTTTTTTTTAAAGTATTTGTAAATGTTTCTCATCGTTATCATCTGTACGGCATTTTAAACTCGAGTATCTGAGATTTTTTCTGAGTTAAATCTCGTAAACATTCCGACAGTCTACTTTTGAAACATTGTCCAAAAAATAGATGTTTACTTAGGCGGACTTTATTTCTAAGATATTATTCGTTATTTTAATATAACCTACTGTGCGAAAGTCTTGGCACAAATTTGTTTTTCTTGTATCTTTATTAGAAAAAGCCCTAGTGTTTGACAAATAATATCAAAAGAAAGTACCACGAGAGATGTTCTAAAAATCAAAATGAGCAAGCTGCATATGGTCCTTTATTAGTGATTTTTCGAAGTTGGTTTGTGATGGACGAAAACATGGCTTGTACAGACTTCATATCGATTTCTTGCAGCTTTTGACTTATTCTTGTTTTCAACTGGTCAATAGTCTTTGCTTCCTAACCATTAGTGCATACTGTATCATCCAAAATCGACCAAATTGTTTCAACAGGACGTGCCTGAGAACAGTTTCGAGGATTTTTCCTTTTGGTACTACATCAATGTGGTGTTATTTTAAAAACTCAATTACACTTAATGCATAATGGTTTGTTTTTCACATCAGACCAAAATAGAAACTTGTCGGTTTTGTGATAGGTATTAATAAAATGCGGGTGTGGGTGTGGGTGTTCTCTTCACTCAAAATCATACCACACACCCACACCCACACCCACATTTTATTAATACCTATCACAAAACCGACAAGTTTCTATTTTGGTCTGATGTGAAAAACAAACCATTA